GTAGATACCTGGTACGGCGTTTTGTCACGATCACTAAAACCCTTACAACACCATTGGTGCATAAATAACTATCATACCATGCAATGTTATTTACCCAACTTCACAACAGAAATTGCCTATATATCATCAATTGCACGTACTATTCATTTCAGCTTGCTACATGACTTCCTGTGCATCTACAGCAGGCAAATAAATTACCTAACCTATAGAAGATTGTTTTATGATTTAGCCATATCTAGCTATTCACAGCCCCTGCTCACACAAGCAAGAATCTCGGTCTTATCTCTTCAGGGTTGCCGTCTTCTATAGGCCGTAATTTTATAATATCCTTTGTTCATTTATTTTATTTCTGTTTATTTTTATTATTATTTCACTATAAAATTATCTATTATACAGAATTTAAATGAAACTGGCAGTGCCTTTACAGTTCAGCTCCTGCAGCTTTCTCCAACGTTGTACATCTCTAGTGCGATTAGCGGTCAGGGCTATTTCCCTTTACCCCCCCCCCCCCGATGTTGAGTGGATGCGTGCGATTATCAGTCGTTGATTGATTTATTAACGATTCCATGCGTATCAACTGCAACGGTCTTAGACTCGTGTCTCGCTTAGATCGCGTGCAATTATTCTCGTAAGTGTAGTGCACGTTTTCATCACGGGACTTGACAATGATCTTTCGCCGCAGAATGCCGGGATCCGGCGCCGACCTAGGTTGGCTTCCGGGGATTTTCCCCAACTAGGGGAAACCTTTTCCCACCAATCAAGCACCGCCCCTGCCGGAACGAGCTCTGACCACCCGCCCGGTCTCCCGACAAGTGTGATAGTGTATGTGTGTAAGGGGTGGGGAAAGGATAAGAAAGAGGAAGGAAAGATCGCGAGCCGTCTGTAGCCCGTTTGTTAGGGTACTGCTCCGGCTCTTGCCGGGTACTGATCACAGAAACCACACGAAACTACCCATCAGAGCAACTGGCCGCTAAAATTGCCCTCCAGACAACGACAGAAATTGATGTTGCTATCTCGCTAGCGTCGAAAATCCTGAAAACTCCAAAAATATTAGAATTCCTCCCATCTATATTAACAATATTGAAAACATTATAGAACTAAACAATGAAATTAAAACCCACATCACTAAGCAGTTTACATCAACCTTCAATAACAGCAAAGCAAAAATTAACTTTATCCAAATAGAAGACTTCAGAAAAGCTATTAAATATTTTACAACCCCTAATAAACAGTTCCACACTTAAAAGGCCCAACCAACAAAACGTTCTCTGTGGTCTACAAAAACATTCATCCGTCTATTTCTCAAAAGGAAATAGACGAAGATCTAAAAGCTGTAATCTGTTACCAGACTACACGAGAACAATTCACCAATCCCAGTGGTAGCCGTTGAATATTCAGGAGACAGCATATTGAAATAATTCTCAAAACAAAAGGTAATATGTAATCTAAAAGTAAAAACTGAAAGAAGGCGTAAAGTTAAAGGACCAATACAGTGACTCCGATGTTTGGATTTCGGGCATTCTAAAAACAATTGTAACCATCTAATTACTTGTATTTATTGTTCTCAGAATGATTATTCGGCCTCATGCCCTCGAAAGGACGACCCTCTGAAATGCAAAAACTGCGGCGGGGCGCACAGTGCTAATATCCGAACAATAGAATGCTCATATTTTAAAACAATTTTGGAACATAAATCAAAAAATTCCCACTAAGCACCACAAAAGTCGAGAACTAAACATCAATCCCCACCCCCTAATACTACTCATCTTTTCCCAACTTACGTAATACGACCAGCATACCAAACTTCACCTATGTATCAGCAACTAACCAGCAATCAAACAACACCACCCGAAACCAATCAGCTAACAACTTCCAAAACTATCTCCCCCAAAATAACTTATATCAACACAGTTTCTTAAATTCTCCATTCGTACACAATATCAACTCCATATCTACACACTTAATATCATAAACTATATTATACCAGTCATTGTTCAAATTATCCAACAAGCCATAGCCTCCTATATTAGCACTGCCCATGGCGCACCCTGAATTCAATCATTCCTTAACTCTAATGAATTGGAATGCATTTAGCATCAGCAATAAAAAAAATAGAACTCCAGTATTTATTACAAGCCAACAACAACATTGCTTACATCACTGAATAACATCTAAAACCTTCTTCTCTGTTTTATTGTCCAGGATATAACGTAGACAAGATTGAATACACTCATCAGGCAGCGGCGTTCTCATTTTAATCAAAAGTACCATCCCATATCACCAAATAAATCAAATGCCTATCTTTGGACTTGAACTAACGGCAATTTCTCTCCCCTGCATAAATATAACTATAATTGCGGCTTATAAACCACCCAATTTAAAGCCTAATTTCGCCTGCTTAAGTAACTAATCACACCTCAGTCACCCACTATACTCTTGGGTGACCTCAATGCTAAACACACTTCCTGGGGGTGCAGAGTCACCAATGCCACTGGATCCCAACTATACAATCAAATACGTACTAATAGATTAAGATTAATATCTCTCCCTGAACCCACACTCTATCCTCGATGCTCAAACAAGCTTCTCGATATTTTAGATATAGGAATAACGAACTTAATAGCCCAGTTTTACTTTACTCCTCACATCGAGCTCGACTCGGACCACATTCCGGTCATTATTTCCACAAATGAGTCCCTCCCCCACCTTCGCCTAAACCAGTTCTTAACATGTATAACTTAAATTGGGTCAAATTTAAGGAAATAATTCAATCCCAAACACCTAAATTTAAAATCCTAAACACCTCGCCTGAAATAGATCAAGCAATAATAAACTTAAACAATCTAATAACAAAAATTGTAAACACACTAAACTCCGAAAATCCCCCCCACACTACGAAAAAACGCTTCCATTAAACTACCCAAAAGCTTAATTAAAATAATTCAAACCAAAAATAAAACGAGAAGACTCTGGCTAGCTCTTAGAGCACCCAGTTTAAAATCAGAACTAAATCTATTAACAAATATCTCCCAAAAAGTCATAGCAGATTTTAAACAGACCAAATATAACCATCTAATACAATATTTAAACACTTAAAACAATTAAATTTGGAATTTTAGTAAAAGGATACTAAGAAAAAACATAATCCCCCCTTTAACTATCACCAATGGTAAAAAATATTCTACAAGTGAGAAAAGTGAAGTTTTAGCCGATCATTGGCCCAACATATCCTCTTCCCATCCAGATCATTCCCAAATCCAAAACTATGCCCACTCCCATAATTACAATATACCCCAAAAATTAAATACATATCTCCCCAGAAAATTACAAACATCATTAGAACTCTCCCAAATAAAATACACCTGGTCATCACAATGTTAATAATATCATTTTCAAAAATTTACCTCAAAACATTATCGCCTATATCACCAATATTCAACTCATTCCTATGAATTGGATATTATCCTTCAACCTGGAAACATTCCTTAATCCTTCCCATCCCCAAACCGAACAAAAACCACAGTAATCCAGATAATACCAGACCCGTTAGTCTCCTCCTATCATTAGCAAAAATATTCGAAAAACGCATCCTTGGAAGATTAAATAAGTACTTGAACAAAATAAATCTCATACCTCCCTTTCAGTTTGGCTTCACCAATAAAGTATCCACAGCGCACCAGCTCTTACGCATCACTGAATACCTTCATACATCATCCAAAAAAAATCACTCAATAGCATTATTCATTGACATCACCAAAGCCGAGGCCGATCGAGTCTGGCACAAAGGACTAATACATAAACTATCGTCAATTGGAACCCCAATAAACCTCTTTAAAATCATTAAATGCTTCCTAACAAACAGAACTTTTTCAGTCGTTACTGAGAACCACACCTCAAACCCACACCTCATAAAAGCAGGACACCCACAAGGATCCTCCCTCTCCCCGCTGCTATTCACCCTCTACACAGCGGACATTCCTACCTCCAGATTAACCCAAATAGCCCAATTTGCAGATGACACTGCAATCTATATGACTCATCCATCATTAAACGTTATAGTAAATTAAATCCAAACACATCTTCAAACATTAGAAAGCTGGTCCTCAAAATAGAAGATAAAAATCAATCCCACCAAATCAGCCGCTAAAATATTCTAATTCAAACCTTTCTCTCTTCCCATACAATTAAAAATAAATAACAATATAATTCCATGAACTCCAAATAATAAGTCAGTTAAATACTTAGGACTACATCTGGGCACCACCCTCTCAACTGGAAAACTCACATAGACAACAAAGTTCAACAAGCCAAAATTAAAATTCTTCAACTGAAACCTCTCATAAATAAAACTACTAAACTGTCTTTAAACACTTCCACAACCTTACATAAATCAATCATCAGACCCCCCTCCTGTACGCCTGCCCAATATGTACAAATGCTGCCAAATATGACATTCAAAAATTGCAAGTCATCCAAAACAAATTCTTAAGATTCATCACCCAAGCTCCCTGATTCATCTCCAACATGCAACTTCTCACAGAATTAAACATCAACCAATTTCTCACCATATTGCCTATCTTTCCAATAAACTTTTACTCAAACCAGCAATTAATCAACCAAAGCAGAGATCTGTAACTACAGAACGTCAAACTCGAATAAAAAACAGATATCCGTTACATGCATTTTTGGACATGTTCATGGGCAATATAGAAAGAATCAATTGAGGTACTCTGTGTGTCCCCTCGTCAGATGTAGCTAAGTGTTAGTAGTAAAATAGATTAAGTGAGATTGTAAGCCAGAAAACAAATGTAAAGTTGACATAAACTGAACTTTGTAATCTCATTCAAAACATAAATAAATCTTAAAAACACAAAAAAATTCCTTTATTTGGCAAAGTGTATTTATTTAAGTTCGAATTATGTAAGTATTTAAACAATAATATTATATAGTATCATATCTACACTACATAAATAATGTAAATTGCAATAACAAATATGTTTATTGCTTAACAAAAATCTACGAGGTCCCCCCCTCCCAAATGATCGGCTGGTTCCGCCCCTTTTAGGGCAGGGCCTACAAATCCAAGCACCAACGAATATTTCGTCACATGAGAAGGTGCTCCTATTGCTCGTTTCTCGGACATCACTGGCGGCGTCACCTCGTGACTCTCTCACACAAGAAAAGAAGAATTAAAAGACGCCTAAATGGCGAGGTCGAAACTACGACGCTTGGGCATTGCGTGAAAGGACTCCGGAAGAAGAGAATATTTAAATATCGTTGGTGTTGGTAGGTATATTATATTTATTTTTACAACATCAATACAATTCTTCTTCATTCCATAATACATTTTTTAATTTCTAAATGTATAAAGTACTGGAAGAAAACGCAAGGTTCATTTTTTTACACTAAGGAAATGAAAGATCAATATTTTACAATATCTTCTTAAGCAACAAAAGACAGTACACGTATCGTAGTCAGAAAGATTATTTTAAGATAAGACTATTTGAAATGCAAACCTGCTTCATAATTATTCCGATAATTAGTGATATGCATGTAAATGCAGCGTATTTTTTTCACAATGACATTTTCTGTGATATCCAATCCAAATATTTATTGACTCGGGTGTATATACCCGGAGTATCTTGGCCACAGTTAATACCCCAAGACACTATCCCAACTGTCATCCATTTATCATCTTCGAAATACATTAGTGGGCCTCCAGAATCACCCTGAAAATGGAAATATGTACCAGAAACATTACATAGCCACAGCTCGCCGGAAGGTCGTATTAAAACGAACATTCCAAACATTAAAAGTAACAAGGAGTGAATCTTCGGAATCTAATATTGGATGTCCTTCATAAAAACCACGAAATTAACGTTTTGCTATATTCACATGTGAAATGGAATAGTGTTCAATTAAATTCTAAATTAAGAGCGTGAATAAATTCATTCAACATCGACCAGCTTACAAATCGCTCGACGCACATATTTCGTACAAAACACATTAGATGTCTACTTATATAACGTCAAAAACAGTAACAAACTGCGTATGGTGAAGAAGTACAATCTTCGCACATTTTCATGAGCTCCTGTGCTTCGAAAGGAAGTATATTGTCGTTGATGATGGACAACCTCCTATGTGATAGAATTTGCGATTTTTGTATTTTAGTATCAATGATTCATATTTGATTCTTCTTTAGTTTGATAGGAAAATTTCCAAAGAAAACTAGAAATTGTGATCTTACAATGGAAAATAAAAGAAAAATTTGTGACCTTTACAATTTATGGTTGATAGAATAACTCGTAAATGTCACATTAGAAGTTTTCGTAAGATGATTTCAAAAAAATATTACAATAAATAAATATTTAATACTATTATACAGAAAGTGTAGAACGCCTAAGCTTAGCCAACAGTACATTAACATCAAAAAGTGTTTTTCTTCCCCCTGTAAAATGTTGTTGGTTCTTTTTCACAAAGAAGGTTGTCTATCATCAACGACGATATTCTAGGAGAACAGATTCAGCATATCAAATATTCATAAAAGAACATTTCGTATTTTAACATATATGCATCCATACCAGTCGTGAGAGATATTGTTTTCTTTACAGAATAATCGTATTTACAATGATATGCCTTTTTACTGTCTCGTCCTTTCGATGGCACTTGAATAGGTATATGTGAACATATGAAAAGGTTAATGTAAACTTAACTATGTATTTCCGAATGAAAAATAAATATTCATTATTAAACTATGAATTTGATAAAAACGAAAATTTGTCGTGGAAGTTTGTAGCCGTTAAATGTATTGCCTCGGTTCTGTAATTCCGCCTGCATTCTGTAACTGGTATTGATATATAACAGAAACAAATATCTAATATAAACTATTTATATTGGAATGCAACTACACTAGTTCATATACTGTGCAGTAGTAGTTGAACAGTTGTTATAAAACTGTATAGTATGTTGCATCGTCATATATCATACACATTTTAAGAGAACAGAGGAAATGCTGAACACCGTGGCAATAGCGAAAAGCGAATTTACAGTCTGTGTGTGTGTAAAGTGTTGCGAGTCTGAAAAAGACAAAGGCAAAGAAGTAAATATGCCGGCTATCTTGTGAAGTATTTTGATGAAATGTTTACTAATAAAATACTTTTTCTAATAATATTTCGTCCCTTACACACAAAAATTACGAATTTTGATATGTTGTCACTTTTTGAGCACCTACAATATTGAACTATACCCATCAACTACTCACATCAAACGAAGATGGTAAGTTGCACTTCCTCGCTCTGATTTTTAAAAACGTTCCCAAAACTAAGATTATCAAATTAATAGAATGATCCTGATTCACTTCTACATTTCGTCTATATACTCTTACTGATAAGTTCATTAAATTCTTCATAGATATATCAATATTACAAATTCACAGTTAGAAAATTATATCATAATTACTCTTAATAGACATGCGTACCTGGCAGGAATCTTTTCCACCTCCATAAGCGCCGGCGCACAGATGGGTTTCCAGAATCGGTTGAGAAAATTTCTGTACGCATTGATTTTGATTCCACACGGGAACATCAACTTGCAATAGTACGTCAGATGGAGGACCACCATAGTATATAGTACCCCAACCTGCAAAGGCGAAAGTTGTTAACGCATAATTCTTATCAGGAAGTCAATTTCCCCCTCTCGCCTAGCCCGTTTACATCTGACTCGGCCCATCAACCTCTCATTTCCTCCAACCACTCGAATGCGTGTAGTTGAACCAAAAACTACAGAAAGAACTTTACCAGATACTCTTTGCTTGAACGCTTGAAATTGCTAAGTCCGTCCTAATAAACTATTTTGGTCAACCTCAGTGGCCGTACGTGCTGTTTTCTTAAAGAGAAGGAAAGACGAAGTCAATTCCATGAACTACTTCAAATGAAACTTACAACAAATGGGTTGACTTGCGATGGGGTAAGAGAGAAAGACCTATCGTTTCCAATCATCCATTCACACAAGCTTCCGCCAGTCCACATTGAGAATACTCCATGCACCATCTACTCTGCTCGTGTCTGGTCGCGTCCTTGACCTTGCTGGATTGTGACATTGTTCAAGTCCCGTGACGCGTTGGTGTAGTTCAGGGGCTTCCAATGGGGGTCGTATCGACCCGCTGGGGGGTCGATGAAATTTTGAAGGGGGTCAAAGATTAACAAGGGGTTGATTGAGGGTCTGTAGCCGAATATGAACCGACGATTACTAGGTAGGTATAATCAAGATGCCATTGATGACGAAAAATATTAAATGAGCTTGATAATTAATTTACTTCTGATATAAAGCAATAAATTGTATAAATTACAATTGCGCTTCTCTTCTTTCAAATTCGTTGTTCATCCTTAGAATCAGGGCGTAGCTGGGCTGGTGCATTCGGTGCACCGACCGCTCCCCCGAAGTACTGCAACCTTAATAAGGACTCCCACAGACGGATATTGTAACAACAAAATGTACCACATGTTTATTTTATCAAATGCATTTGCAATTGTATAACTGTACACCAATTATATTTAAAACTTAATTTCACGTTCATTGCAGATCGACTTTTTGCATTGGGATCTCAGAATGTAGCTTCACAACTGCTTAGGGTGTTTAGAAAACTTAAAGAATATAACTACATTTAAACAAAGATATTCTATTGGAGAGAAGAGGAGCGAGTTTGTAATTTATTATTATCCCTTTCATTGTTCTGCATCATAAAAAATACAACCTACAATAGCCTGTGTACTTGGGAAATGTTTTGGCCAACATTTTGTAACAATTGCACAGCTATGAAGATCAGCTAAAAACTCAGCTACTCAGAAATAGCGTCTTCGTTTAATGAGAATCTAGAAATTTATCAAAATATTGAAGTAAGAAATTGTTATCTTTAAGACATATATGTCCAATTCCTTGTGTTATAATTAGGTATGATAAATTATAGATAATAAAGTAAGGGGGTTGAGATGTACTCAACAGTTATTTTAAAAGGCGATCGATAAAAGAAAAGGGTTAGGAATCTCTGATGTAGTTGCAAGTCACACCTGTAGATCGCAGTTCAAGAAAGAATAACATCCCTCCAGCTATACTCGTATTTCTCTATTAAAAAATGTGCGCTGTGAGTTATGAATGATTAACATACGAGATCGAAGTCATTTTTCCTCCTTTTTATCAACTAATAAATACCCCCTTAACCCCCAAAGCAATTTAATTCATAATTACAATCAAAAGAAATAATCTCTCTTCCTCCCTTGATAAACCGCCACTGGTCAGCCTTATCAACTGTGCCGAATAAAAGTATTTTATGAGTTAGAATAAGTACTCCTGATGCAGCCGACACGGGCAGGGACGCAAGTGAAGTTCGGATACAAAATATTTCGGAATACACCTAATCTAGTCAAGTACGAGCATATGGGGATCATCAGAGTGTGGCCCGAACCCAATATGCGTGTTTGTGAAAAATGGCAACACCCAAAAGGAACATTTTGTATCACTTATAAATCGGTGGATGTGTAGAACTGTATCCATAAGAAGGGATTAAATTAGCGTAGATATGGCGTGTACGTTGGCCTACTAACGCCCTCCTATGTGTGACAGGTCAGGTCAGGTCAGTGTTACGCCACATTCAGTCAGTTTAGAGCCGTCAAACGCCATGGAAACGCGCAAGCAAGAGCCGGTATGCCTCGTAGACGCCAAAGGATGCAATATCAGCATCTGGGTGAGTTCGAACGGGCAGACTGATCGATCACCAAAAAGCGGAATTGTCGTACCGTGGCATTGCGGCTCGAATGGGGCGCGCTGCTACGACAGTGATGCGTGGGTGGAAACAGTGGTTAAGAGGAGGGTGGTACACAGCGACGAGCGGGTTATGAACCACGCTATGTGACCACAGCGCGAGATGACCGCTATGTTGTTCGCAAGGCCGTAACTGACAGAAAGGTGTCGTCCACAGTGTTGGCTCGACTTTAGGGCACTGCAACGGGTGTAGTCATGTCTGCGTCGACCGTTCGCCGCTGTCTGCTGAAGGCTAGACTGGTGTTGCACATACCACTGCGTCGGATCTCGTTGGCTAGAAATCACCAACGCCTCAGACAGCAATGGGCACGGGAACGTGTTCACTGGTGTGCTGAGTGGCAAACTGAAGTGCATTCGGACGAGACCCGCTTCAGTTTGAGTTACAACGATGGCCACATACGTTTCGATGCTTCCATGAATTCGCAATCTGGCAGCCTGCATTGTTCCGCGCCATAGCGGACAAATGCCAAGTGGGATGGTTTGGGGCGCCATTGGCTACAATGTGCGCTCTCGCCTCATACGTATCGAGGGCAATCTGAAAAGCAACCGCAACTTCAGGGTTTTAGAGCCCGAGGTACTGCCCCTCCTGAAAGCAGCTCCACATGCCTTATTTCAGTAGGACAATGCCTGACGTTATGTGGCGAGGAATGTGCAAGCTTTCTGCGAAGAACGGCGGGTACCACTGCTTCCCTGGCTTGCACGTTCGCCTGACATGTCGCCCATAGAACATATCTGGGATATGATCGATCGGCAACTTGTTTGTCTGGTTCTCTGCACCCACTGCCGATTCTTTGTAGTCACGCATACAAACCGTGTGGAGGTGTGTTCCCAGCAGCATATCCTGGCTCTCTTTTAATCCATGCCACTGATCCACTGCCACTTCTAGAGGCTCTGATGGCAACGCGTGGCCGTAATAAATACTCAAGGTCGAAATGCAGGTACAGCTTTGTAATTCTAATCATTTGTATATTGTGATATTCCTAACCTGTGAAATAAATTTCATTGTAATAGGATGTCTCCTTCTTAGTGACGAAAATTTTCACAAACACCAGTGTACAACTCTTCGTTTTCGTTAATGGTAGTGTCTGCACACAGTAGTTAATGTGTCAACTTAATGTGATGAAACTATAGTCCTGCTTTACGTAGCTAAATAAGTAGACTTCAATTTGCTTTATTTATTCCGTACGATTGATTGATAGATTCATGCTTCTGAGAATGCTAACTGCTATGGTAATTATTCCTGTTAGTGTGGAGACGGTGGCGGTGTTCCTCCCCCGCTGGATGATATCCGCTGCCGATCAACGGATGTTTGCGGGGATATCCCCCGCAGCTATCTCCCCCAGGTGGACACAACCCCTGCTGAGATAAGCTCTAAGCTCCCGTCTAGTTTCACGATATGTGCGATAGTATAGGCATGTAAGCAAGTGTGTGTGTACACGGGCGCGTAACGGGAGAAGATGGGCGAAGAAGGAGGAAAGAAAGACCATAAGGGTACAGCTCCGGCATTTGCCTGGTATTGATCGGAGAAAACCACGAAAAACCACGTTTCGGGGCAGCCGGCCACTAGAATTCTCCTCCAGACAGCGGCTGAATTCGACTAAGCTATGCACCTTGTATCGAAAATTCGCCACCGTCGAAACTGGAAGGTCCAAGACCACCCGGTCAGGGTCGCTCGGAAACAACGACAATGCAAGCGCTGAGTTATATCTGCGTTCATTCCGTTCATGAACTCACCTGTTACGACGACAGTTTTGTTTTCAAAACTCATATCTTTCGGTGGCATACAAATTGGCCAAATGTACGAATTAGAAATCAAGGACTTCTGAACTTTCAAAATAGCAATATCATTCTCGTATGTAGCTCTGTCATATGCTTCATGAATAAAAGACTGAGCAATTCTGTAGTCCATATGGCGCGATTCTTGATCTTTCCCTAGATCGTATTCCCCAAATCGAGCTCTAATCGACTCTAATTTGAACCTGCAAGAGAAAAGTTCATGTTAAAATAACGACAAAATTATTCTAGTATTATTTGCTTGAAACATGGCATAGAAAAAGATTTGTAACACTGCAAGTAAGAGTTCTTTTGAAGAGAGAAGCATGCTTTGTTGGTCACTGATATCGAAAAAGCGCATTTTTCTAAGACGCCAGTACTCCCGTCCAATTGTGGACGCCGCTAGGGAATAAACTGTTCACTGATTCTTTTCCAAAGTAGATATTTCTGGATTCTTTGACTTTAACACGCTAATAATTTCATTTGGGGGGGGACTTTATAAAACGTCTTACGACATTTTGAAATTTTCTCCACAATGATTCCAATTATCTTCTTTCATTTTTTCTGGTACAGAGCGTAGTAAGATTGTAAAATTGGCGCAGGTTCGATTTTCATTAAAACATCAGAAGTTTTGAAAATCGATAAATTTAAAATATTTTCACATCTACAACTACAAATACATTGCTGAATATAAATTGTTTTTTAATAAAATCCGTTCTTCAAATTTAGATATTTAAGTAATGCCATGTACATCTTTCAAGATATACGTAGTTTTCCCATGATTGCAAGTGAAATAGTGACACCTTTGAAAACTAGTTGTGTTCCAACATCTCATACTTTTGCGTATTAATTGTAAGAGCTAGGCAATATTATAATACTTCGTCAACGTGCGAAATTGTTTCTGGGCAGCAAAACAATATTTTCCTTACATTGGGTTTAGAATGCAAGTTTTTTGGTCAGCAGTTCCGTTAGCCCTACACCACCAGCCTCTCAGCTAAACTAAACCTTCCCCAACTTTTAAAACAAAGATTAATATTTGCATTTACATTATATCAAGATATAGATTTAAAGAACAGATTCCACAAAGGAAAAAGTCTATCAATAATATTGTAGTTTTGCATTGTTGATTTGTTGTAATGAACAAAAATACAGAGGTCCACTGAAAATCGGGCACACGCCGTTTTTACACACGTTCTTTGCTCTATTAGGAAAAAATATCCTAGCTGTTTTGTCCAAATTGTAAACTGCCTTTATTCAAGCAAAAATTGCATGAAAACGTCTTTATTCTAAACACATTTTCATAACCATAGACCAAAATCTATTATTTTTAAACATTTTTCAATAAACAAAAAAGTCTCTATCATCAATATTGCACGTTTGCGTCGATACTTTTATGCAATTTTCGAAAATACGACAAGTTCACCGAAAATCAGACCTTCAACATTTGTAAGGGTCTATCCACAAGAAAAATTTGGAGCTGCAGAGCTTTTGAGAAGTTTTTAAAACAAATTACATTATTATTTACTTCAAACCAAAATTACGGGGAAAAAACATTTATTTAAAGAGAATGTACAAGACTATTTTAATATGTAGTTTTGCAGAACAGATTTTAAGAAAAAATCTATCATCAATATTGTGCTTTGGTAATGTTTTTTTTTTTTTTTTGCAATTTTTGGAAATACAGAGTTCGCCAAAAATACGATCAGCACAATTTTTTACCGTTCTTTGCTTCATACAAATTGAAACCGCGTTTGAGAAAATAACTGTTTAAAAATATTTCATGCAAAATTGAATGAAAACAAAGCCATAAATAATTTTGAACTTTCACCATTTTCAAAAATTCCGAGTGTTAAACGAAAATGAGATGTGCACAGAAAAAACGGAATGACTTAGAAAAAATATTCAAACACTTTGGAGACATTTTTGACCAAAATTTGAAAATATTGTTGAGACTACATGTAAAGTACCTCCAAAAATCAAAATATTGGTTTGAAACTTGCATTGCCTTAAGTTCAGCCAGATTGATAAGGGAATTTCAATTTTGGAGAAAATCGACAGAACGGTTAAGGCAGTAGCAACCGGATACAAACTCGCTTTGTTGTCAACCAATTTTTCGGCATCAAGGACACAGAAAACATGTATTCTGGTAATAGAACGCTTAGAACAAGTGATTTACTACCTATAGGAAAATATTAATCCACGTTTTCGATACCGAGGTCCCACAATGCAAGTTTTCTGTCGAAAATCTTCATTGAAACGTCTAGAATTTCAAAAAATGTAAATGTTTAACTTTTTGCCGAACCTGGCAGATTCTTCAACACAGAATCAATTAGAATCTTTAATATTGAATCTAAAGAGTTCTTTGATAATACTAATAATTCCTTAATCTTTTTTAATGATTTCATGTTCACGGTTTTGAAAATAGTTTTTGTGTCATTTTGACTTACGACAACTGTGATGTTTTTTATTACAACTATGATGAAAATGTTTTGATAGTTGAATTTGTTTAGATGTATTTGCATTCAAAACTTTGGTTATGGACACACACATACATTTCTATGGTATTTACATACTTAGGTAATTGAATAATTTCGACTCGATAGTTATCAATGTTCTGTGATTTGTTCAGCAAAATCAACAAAAGAACTTGTGCAAACGTACAGAACATTCAAAATACTGGGAAGTGCAAGATATATTTTATAATGCATTTTGATATTGGTAGACATTAGTATCAAAATAGTCCCCAATCAACCGTATTATTTAAAACGTAATAAGAATATTCTCATGAAAAAATTAAAGAGTATTTACATCCGTTTACAGCTTTCATTTTGTAAATTATAATCACTTTATCTAAGCTTCTTACGGTGCAATGCAATGAGCAGCAGTTAAAACATGTTGCTTGGAGATCAAGACAGCTCCACAGTAATGAATTCCTCCATCCTTCAGCAACGCCACCATCCAAGGCCAACTGGTGGAGTTCGAAGGGCGAGAAGGTTCAATGCGCTTTAGAGGAGCAGTGGTAATACCACATCCTGAAAAAATAAAATTTTATTTCACTATTACAAGTTAATTATGTATTTTTACCACTTGTAGAAAACTTCGGTTAGTTTAGGTCAAGAAATACCAGTGAGACGGGTGGGCTAGCATTTTTTACCAGATGCCCTAGCCTTGGTTGTGTATCAGAAAGTACATGTAATCATTAGCAACGTCGAGTTTGCCCCGATATTTTGTTTTAATAGCAACAGGTGCTGAAAATTCTTTCTCGCACATATAAGTGCCTGAAAAAGGTACATACAATCGCCGCACATGCTATGATACACCAGCGTATGCTTTGAGATACTTAACTCAAAACGATGTGGCAGAATCGTTTTTTTTTTTTTTTTTTTTTCAAAGCTTGTTCTTAAAGTGTATCGGGCAGGGAGTCTGTGTTGACACTGAAAGGATCCGTTGTTAATCTGTAAAATGTTATTATCACAAGTGTAAGAAAGTATCTGTCGAATTCCTCAATATATGCTCCTCTAGAAACCTCTTTAAAACGTTTTCTTCAGAGACTGAAACTAGGTTGGTAAAACATGAATAAGTGTAGGGGTGTAGCCAATATCTTACGCCTCGAAAATTTCAACTTCTCAATATATGTCTTGATGGCATCACGACGCGTAACCATATTTGACTCTCCACACTAAGTATTTTTAGATTAAGGTTGTTCAACGAGTCAAAAAAATAAGACAAATTAGCTAACATCACTTGAACACTTTATTCTGAACTCGTCGCGACAGCCCGCATAAGGGCCATGGCCTACCAGCAACGTCCCAGCCTCGCAGCCATAGGTTAAGGGATACGTGTGGTTAGCACGAAGATATCCCTACACCGTATTCCGGTCTTCTCAACCTGAGAAGTGAGTTTTCTCATCATCACATAGCAATATATACTGAGACACTGCAAAGAAAACGCAAACTATAATCTTGCCCGACCGGGAATCGAACTCTGTGTCGCGCCATTCAAGCGTGCACGCTGATCAATGGACTAAACCGCGAGGGGTACTTGAACACTAGTTTTCTTAAGTTCCAGGCTTAGCTTTTGTTTTGATTTTACCAAAAGACAATTACTTCATCTCGGAGCGCAAATAACCTAGCCTTTGGAGACCCAGCGAACTTCCTTTGAAAAAACAGTGTTTTGTAATCTGTTCCTAAATCTTTGCAAAGAGTTTTAAAAATACGAATATTTAAAACGCTGTTTTTGAAGCAGTTAACTACTTTAATACCTAATTTTAAGACATCGTGAGGTTCGTTTGGATAGGTTTTAGCTATTAAGACTTGATGGTGTTTGAACAATGAATCGCAGTCACAGAAGCATTTTTCTCTCTTACCAATTGCACAAAGCCCGATCGAGTATCAAGCATTGAAGGAACGCCATCTGGGCATACTCTAAACAATTTTTCCCATGAAAGTTCACATTTGTCAAAACAATATGTGACTGCTTTTATCACATCAACAACATGATGAAAACTCTTTAGAAAACAGTACCTCGTCTTTCACTCTTCGTTTTTCAATATATCGAACATAAACTATGAACTTAGAACATTGTACAATGTCTGTACTCTCGTCCAGGTATATTGCAAGAAAACGTGTTGTTTTATTCCTTCAGTTACTCGATTTTTTATGTCTTCGGCTATATCATCAATGGGACGTTTCACTATGTTGTCAATAAGTGGTATTTGTTGTCATTTGTGATCATCAGTTCCAAGATCAATATCAGCTACATTCAACAGACATGATTCAACAAGCGTCTCTCCAATGATATTACTTTTCGTTTGCCTAGCAATAAGAACTGATAGCTCATATGAAACTTGAAGCATTTTTTTTCAGTTGACTGGGCAAAGAATCCAGTTTTATCAAACTACATGCGTTTTAAATTTTCAGACACTGCAGAGAAAAAGTTATTTGATCTGTCCTTAAAAGAAGCATGTTACATTGACAAATATCCTTCAAGACGACTTGATCTCGTGGCATCATTGCTCAAAACAGCCATACATTGTACAAATACAAAGGCTGCAAATACAGTCATATTGAATATAATCATCATTATTTTGCGTTTTTTGCTGAGCTCATCTTGAACAATATTGTATGCCACAAATCACACAATGCCAGAAGGCAGCTATGACAAAATTCAAATCTTGCTAACGTGGCAAGTTCTCGGAAATGTTCGGGGACATACGGCTTAGTGGATCCCGCGCCTCCCTAGGGTGCGCCCCCTTCCCCGTTTTAGAAATCACTGGTTTAAAGACACATTGATATAAGGTCATACACATTTCTTTCAAGTCTATTGGTAGTTTTCACGTATTTTTGCGTAAAATGTAGCAATTTTTTAGAAATTATTATCTCAAAAACGGTTCCAATTTTTTCTTGGGTTTTTTCGTATGTAGCAGTGAACGGTAAAAAAAGTGACCAAATCTTTTACCGCCAGTGAACTCCGACGAGCACCGGCAAAATATTTGCCAAAATTGCAAAAAATGAAAAGCAAAATTACAACACCCCAAAAGTACAATGTTGATGATAAAGATTTATTCTTAAATCAAATATGTTCCAAAAAATTAGATCTTTAAGAAAGGTACTGTTCATTTAAAAAAGCATCAGTAATTTTTGCATGATTTTTTAAATCTCAAAAACAGCTCCATTTTTTATTTATTTTTTGACATGTAGAACAAAGAACGTTGAATGTGGGTCTCATTTTCGTTGAATTGTCTGATTTTTTTCAAACATGACAAATGTTAGAAATAATGCGAGAAAGTATATGCTGTTGTAAGAGACTAGTTCTCTCTCTTTATTTGGTAACAGTCTTTTTTTAGTAACGATCGACATTTCGACACTAGGTACTTAATACAGTGCTGTAACGTACAGATGTACCACCGAACTATGCCAAATTTATTTAATGTTGCACTATGTTGCCATCGAACGAAGGCAACTGCAAACTACCTCGTTAAGCTGCTTCAACAGCGGAAAACATATTTTTCGTTTGGGTCCATTAGGATCTAAGTAGCTGGTGATGACGGAATGACTTTCAGCAAGAGAAAGAATGATTAATTTAATCATAAATATAGTAGTTTATTAAGAAACTCAAATTTCTTGATCGCAAACGAGAACTTTTTGTATTGAAACTCAATTGAATCATATTTTCACTTACAAAATATGAATATTGTAGAGAACACGGTCAAATTTTTAGATTTTATTACTTTTAAGGAATACAGAAACATCACAGTCGAATCTAATAAAATGCAAAATTTCTGCTCGAGTGCATATTAGCATTTATTGGATTCAGAAATTTGTTGTTTAATAAATGGGCGAAAACTGCTGTTTTTTCTCCGCTTCCTGCCTGTCTTTTTTTGAAATATCGCACTGCTCTCGGCTCTTTTCTTATCGGCTCACTTCCTGACAGTCGCCTTATCCAAACAGACAGATGGTTCAGCTAGCGATCGCTCGCTTGACGCACCATTTTCGAGTACAACTAAAATTTTACAAAGGTTTCTGCCTAAATAGAAGAGAGGGGAGAATAAGAAATAAAATTGGCATATATTAACTTAGAAAACGTTTTTTGTTTTAGAGACCAATAGCATAATAAATTTGTATTTTTTATGACACAAAAGCCTAATATTAGTCAAATAAATAAGCATAACTAAATAATGTAGCATTAAAATTTATGTGAAGAAAAGTCTGATGATGATGACAAAATTCAATCACAACAGAATTTACAATCTAGTGGTAATATAGCCCATGAAGAGTTAAAAATTTTCCTGGAAGCCATTTTCTACAAAAATCTAAAATTTTTTCCAAACATAATACACTATTGATTCAGTGGAAGAATTCAAGTTCTTACTGATGCTATTTTTTTCTAAGTTTGTTACTTCATTTAAACAGCATGTGTTGAAATGTGTGTATACTCCATCTCAAATTAATTCTAAATATCTTATTGCTTTTATTCGGGGAACCAAAGTATATACTTGGGTAAAATTGTATAATAATTAATTAATAGTTATGAACAGAAAAGGCTGTGAAGACCATGGCAAAATTTCTATCACGAGCCACAATAGTGTTTACAAGTAAGGTATTTTCATAATTATTTTAATTAATTACATTTTTAGTTATCATTATTCTTTTATTAACTATAATTAGTATATTTTAATAACAATTAATAATAGTTATGAATACTAATAAAATAAATGTAACTTCATAATCAGATCATGGTTTTTTTTTGAGAACTGTGAGATGTTAGTGGAGAGTTTAATTACTTTGAGAGCTGTACTATCAAGCAATTGTTTTCCATTTTCTGAGTAAATTAGAGAGCATGAAGTTCATTCCTTCATGTGCGGGCTGAAGTGATAAGAGCAAAAATCTGTAGGTCGTTTAATGATGCAAATATTTTCCATTTCATGGGAAAAATATTTCTTATGGTCAAATTTTTGCCAACAAAGTTTATTCATATTTCTTTTTCTAAAGTAAAAGAGCAAGGGTAGAGAATCCAAAGCTTGAGAAAATTGCATATTGTACTTCTTTTTAATATGCACATACATTCTTTAACTGTTTTTAGATAACATAAATAAATACATAAGTAAATAAGCAAACAGACTAATACAACATTTATGAATAGAATACACTTATTTCATATAAAAAAAATTGTGAAATAAGTTTCCAAAAATTATAAAATTAAAAAAACAAAATCTTTGAAGCAAAATTACACATAGAAAATACAAAAATAAATAGCATCGAAAAATAACAAAGAGTAACATTTGTTTTATGATTTTTTGAGTCACTTGAACTGCATGTCCAGGTAAGCCATGTTAAACCTACGAAATAATTATATGAGTCGTCATTGTCAACAATATTGTTGCCAATGACCCCTATAATTATTTCATTATCAAGGAATAAAAATTATTCCTTTGAATTATAAAAATATCTATATTAACATAGATAATGGAATATTATAAGATGACTGACAACAACGTTCACAATGACTGATTATGTTCTTTGCGGCGCAAGATATTGGATTAGCGAGAAACGTGCTTTACTGGCTGAGAAAAATCTGACTGTGTTCTAGATATTTTGATGCAAACTACGTTAGGAGACCCACAGAAAATGGTGTGAACATCTAAGAAGAATTCCAAGTAGGTTTGTCAATGCAATATCGACGAAAAAGAAAATGTGATATTGGAAAACTACGAGTGAAAGAGGTACCGGAACAGATTGAAGAACCTAATATCTGAGGGGAAGAAGAATGATTTACTGATTATTGTGTGTTTCCAGGCGCGTCAAATGCTATGGTCAATAGTTCCTTAAGTTTAGTGAAAGTTTTTATCACGGGAGGTGGCGGTCATCTTACTCCGCTGGTTGGTGAGATCCAATGCCGATCTTCACATTAGCATGCGGGGTTTTTCCTGTCCAGGTATCTCTCATAAGCGGGGCACCCTAGCCTAGATAAGATTTAACCTCCAGACTGGTCTCCCGACATGTGCAGTACTGTAATGCATCTAAGTGTAAGTGTGAGTAAGGTGTGAGGATAGGACAAGGAAGAGGAAGGAAAGATCGCGCGCGAACCGTGGTCCATTTGTTGGGGAACTGCTCCAGCTTTTGCCTGGTATTAATGGGAAAAAACACGGAAAGCTACCGATCAGAGCAGCCGGCCGCTAAAATTCCCCTCCAGATAGCGACTAAACTCCGCTTAGCTCTGTAGCTAGTGTTGAAAATACTAACACAATCGGGACTCCAACCATAAGACCTCCCGGTCAGAAGCACTGTAATGACATTAGTTGCCCTGAGCCAGTAAGAACCTCAGCCAGTAAGAAGAAAGCATTAGGAGTGAAAGGTGGGGAATATTAGCTGCCGGGCCATCATACACCAAGTCACCTTATTAATAATATTTTACGGCACTATGATTCTTTTCGAGGTTTATCATACAAAACAAAAGATAAAAAATCGTGCATCAAGCAACAAACATGTGATAATTAATCATAATTTCTTCCTTACAAGTCTGATTCTCAATACGTAATTGCTGCTAGTGAAATTTCATGCTATAATTACAGCAGAATACTGAGAGGATGTTGCCCATCAATACAATTTCAATGGAAATTTCTCGGTATTCTTTATAGTTGGCAAGACGATTAGACAAATACAAGCGTTTCAAATTCACGCAAATAAGAAAATAAATGTCAAAATTGCTATAGAACTTCAATATCCAAATAATTTGCAAGTTACCTTTGTTTTAAACGAAAACGTAAATAACTACCAGAAAATCTTCAGTTTATTACTTCTTTCAGTTGCATTGAACGACTCGCAAATTATTTATTGTTTCCAATGAAGCAGACAATAAATAGTACATACATGGTTTTAGTATATTAGCGATCTCTGACCTAGATTAAGAAGTGTATTGATGATTCTATTTTACATTCTTGAATCATCCTTCCCAACGTTCGCGGACAGAGTAGCCCCTACGTGTGACGGCTGCAGACGAGTCCCACGAAACGTTTCACTTGAAACGTTTCAGCTTGAAAGTCAAAGACAAATAATCCAATTCATCATTTATGTATAACTGATTAGCACAGCCAAAATAAATGACATATCGCACAATAGTAGCACTGATTAGCACGTTAGTAGTATAACTGCAATTTTTCAACTCATCTTAGCCGCAGCAAGCATATAAATCTTGAACAAACATTCAAAAGACCTTCTATATTTTGTTGTAGCATTTCTGACTATTTGAAAACATTTTTAATTTCACTTGAGAATAATACTTCTAAAAATACTTTTGTACAAAGCACTTAAAATAAAAATTTTGATTATTTGAAACGTATTTCAAATGTTTTGAACGAACAAGTTGTCACTTTTAAGAAAGACTATTTATAATACAACTTGTTCGTTCAAAACATTTAAATATATATATATATATATATATATATATATATATAT